GATTTTATTTATTTATTTGACAGAGAGAGACACAGCGAGAGAGGGAACACAAGCAGGGGGAGTGGGAGAGGGAGAAGCAGGCTTCCCACTGAGCAGGAAGCCCGATGTGGGGCTCGATCCCAGGACCCTGGGATCATGACCTGAGCCAAAGGCAGCCGCTCAACAACTGAGCCACCCAGGTACCCCTGTATTACATATTTTAAAGCCAACTAATGAAGGCAGCTGTGGCCCTCAGAAATTTCATTTTTAAATTTCTAATAAATTTGACACAGATCTGAAATACAGCAGCCCATAACTGATGGTCTGGTTTAGCAACATTACATATAATTATGAATATGCAGTTACATTTATACAGATTGCAAGAAATCTTGCATTTCTGAATGACCATTGTCTTTCCATTTAAGAAATAACACTGGTTTTTGGAGCTCACTACGGATAAGGTAAAGGTGTATAGCTATTGTAAAAGGAATCCATTAACAAACAGCCCATCAAAACTTGCAATCAGGGGGAATGAAATGGAGCCAGGAACTCTTTCTGGGTCGTCATATCAACACATTTATATTCAGACCTCACAAGGCAATATTCTGAACTCTTAACTAGGCATTTCAAAACAGCAATTAAATTCCTAAGGCTCTTATGTGAACAGGTTTTTTCTATTGCTTTGATGTAATTTTCAAAGGCTTTTAGCAAACATGCATTTCTCTGTGTGATAGATTTCTTTAAGCAAATACTGTAATAGTAATCCAAGGGCTGACTAGTCTATTTATGGAATAGGAATTACGTCAGTGCGTGTATTCTTGCTGTTCAGTGATGGGATGTTGAGGAATTTTCTTTCTTCAGATGTGTGCTTGAGTATCTCGCTCAGTGAAAGTCTACAGATAGACTTTTTGTTTGTACTTCAAAGTGATTGAATTGTTGGGATGCCTGACTGGCTCAGTTGGTAGAGCATGCAACTCTTGATCTTGGGGGGTCATGAGTTCCAGGCCCATGTTGGGCATAGAGTTCACTTAAAAAAAAAAAAAAGTTGGGCGCCTGGGTGGCTCAGTTGGTTAAGCGACTGCCTTCGGCTCAGGTCATGATCCTGGAGTCCCTGGATCGAGTCCCGCATCAGGCTCCCTGCTCGGCAGGGAGTCTGCTTCTCCCTCTGACCCTCCCCGACCCTCCCCACTCTCATGCTCTCTCTCTCTCAGTCTCTCTCTCTCAAATAAATAAATAAAATCTTAAAAAAAAAAAAAGTGACTGAATCGTTAAGTACAAGATTAAGCTGATTAGTCAATTTGTAACCATTTTTTTTCATTCACAGCTATTCAACATTAGACAGTTTTGTTTTACTTGTCTGTGTATCTAAATACATACTCATTTATAATAGAGTGAAATATAAATGGTTGGTTTCTCCCAAAAAAGGAAGTTGTGATGGTATATTTTTGACCATGAGAAAAACATTTAAGCCCTTTGAGCTAGTTTCTGTATTTGAAGAATGGGGTTAATACTTAATAAGGTTGGGGTGCCTGGGTGGCTCAGTCGTTAAGCGTCTGCCTTCAGCTCAGGTCACGATCCTGGGGTCCTGGGATCGAGCCCCACATCAGGCTCCCTGCTCGGTGGGAAGCCTGCTTCTTCCTCTCCCACTCCCCCTGCTTGTTTTCCCTCTCTTGCTGTATCTCTCTTTGTCAAATAAATAAAATCTTTAAAAAAAATACTTAATGAGGTTAAGGTTAACACCTTAAAAGACCTTTAGTGCCTTGAATGGTGTTTATAGATCTAAGACAGGGGTTTTCAAACCTTTCTATTTGGGTAAGTTTGGGATTGGGCCAGGGAATCTGTGTTTTTAAGGTTTCCCGTGTGATTCTTGTTTAGGGCCCCCTGTCTGAAGCAGAAGCTGGACCAAAGTGGGAGTGGACGGACAAGAGGGTAGAGAAGT